CGAACAAAAAGAAATATGATTTGGCACACTGCAAAGACTGAGCCTAAAATGGTGTTTTGAGGAGATCAAGACTCTGGGTAGAAGCCCGGATCAAGCTGCCCAAGAGCCGATGCAAGCTTATTTTATGAGAGAGAAAAAGGGTTGCTGCCTGTTCGATACATTTGTTACTGCTCCCATCCGACAGAGTTTTTTTTTTGACAAATGATTGCCTAGCTAAGCAGGTGAGTGTATGCATTGGGTGCTGTGAATGCCCAAGCTTACATGTTCCTACGTGTTGCTAAATGTGTTCAAAGTTTACAACGCGTGTCGTTGTTTCTACCACTGATTCATCTTCTGTATGCAGTCAAGCCTTCAAGCAGCAAGCACCAATTAGACCAGACTAGAATTCCCTTCATTTGGTCGAGTCAATGGATGAAAAAAAAAAACCTAATTAAACGATGGCATGCTTTATGCAATATTGTGGTTGATGATTGATTCATTGATTTATATGTGGGGTTTAACGTCCGAAATTTATACAATAGTGTGAATTTCATCGTGGATTTCCGAAATTATATATATATATATATATATATATATATATATATATATATATATATATATATCAGCTATAGGAATACAACCATTAAAGTGACAAAAGTGCATGACCGTAACAATGACCTTCAAGGAATAGTGGCGCAGTAGGGTTGAGAGCTGAAATAGTTGGTGAGACATCATTTAACCATATGGTGTAGTAGCGCAATTTTCACGGGGACGAAGAGGAAGAGTGTCGTGTGTTCTTGTCCTCTTCGTCCCCGTGAAAATTGCGCTACTACACCATATGGTTAAATGAATAGTGGCGCAGATCCGACTGAATAAAAAACATGGGGCAGACTTTGCCCTCTCCCCTTCCCTTTCTGAGGTGATTAAGTGGTTGGCGGAGTAGCTACATCCTCCATTTCTTCTCCTCAGTTTGTGAAATAATTAGACTGTCCCGCTCCTGCTTTAGTACTGCTGATGCGATAACAGCCCTCATGCCTTCTTATCGCAGGAACTTTATGCTGGATGGGCTCATAGTTTTGACGCATTTGACGGTGGACGAGTACCAAGCGGGCTTGCCGTGTGTCATCACTGGAGGGGCGCCTTACGAACTGAATACCACTACGAATCTGCTTGGCATGGTGAGCAATCTTTTCGTCTGTTTTCTTTTATAGCCGACTGTATATAACAAGTAGTAAAAACAACCGATGGCACATTCCATTCACAGTATCTATAGGTATAGGTTGTGATATCGAGAGAGGGAAACGAAGAAACCCTCAAAGGCTCACCTACGCATTCGCATAAATGACTTGAGGGGGAAAACCATCCTTGTCGCTTTCTTCTCAGTCTATGTAATGATCCTCATCCACTCCCTCCAAGAAAGCTTTTAGCACGTAACGAAGTTTCGCATTGCCACCAAGATCGAAGACATTGCAAGCGTTCTGAATGAATGATTTATTTATTGATTGATTGATATGTAGGTTCAACGTCCCGAAACCACAAGTGATTATGAAGATGCCGTAGTAAAGGGCTCCGAAAATTCCGGCCACCTGGGATCCTTTAACATGCGCCCAAACCCGAGCAGACGGGCCTACAGCATTTTCGCCTCCACCCATTGCAAGGGTTCTGCATCTCGCTCAACTTTGCAATGGCCCTGTGATCAGCCCGCATTTGACGAAGCACCTATATCGCGTGGCGACGTCTCATGTCAAACGACGTCACATCGTGTTGACTTCACAGGGACGTCATGACGGTTGCAACAGCTGTGACGCCGTGGTGACAACGTATGGTGACGTCATCGCGTGAAGTTTTTCCGAGTCACTAGCATCGATGCCGCGAACGTGGTGTGTCGACGCCGCCCATGGCTGATTATCGCGTTAGATCAGGCAGCTAAAGCGTCCACCTCGGGACATTTGTTTACACTTGACAAGGTGATTCATTGTCTTAGGAGGAAAATTTGAGATCGACAGGAGAGGCTTTCGTTCGGCAGTTAACACGTACGCGTCTAAGAGAAATGCTGGCAGAACAATATGGTGATTGCGTGAAGCGAGATCACGTTTGAACTCATTTTTATTAGGGAGTTTTAAATACTGTTTGCAAGCGCTGCGGGTGTTGCGGGCGTAGCGGGCGCCATATGAGTTTTAGAATAGCGTTTGCCGTGCGGCAAACCGCCACACACGATCGCAGCGACACCGTAGCCTCGAAACCAGCGCTTGCAGGCCACATGTGGGCCGCGATCGGCGCACGCAATTTCGGATTTTCTGCGTGCGGTCCGCGAACGCGAAAGCGGACTCGCGTTACGACGCATGCGCAGTGGCAGTGACCGCACCGCGAGGGCTTGCGGTGCGCCATTCTGAAACTCCCTATTGGCATGCGACACGTCTACAGGGTTTCTGTGTAGCACACTGTAACATAAATTAAAATCGAGGTGCTCTAGAGCGAGGCAACTGAACAAAAAAAGTGCACTGTTTCACTGAACGTGAGAGCTGAAGATAGGGCAGAGGGTCTATCTTTCGCTTACGCTGGCGTTGGCGGTCAGGCATGGGCTGGTGTTCCAAAAGTGCGGCCTGCTAACCATTCGCGGTGGGAAAGGGAACTTTCATTTTGTGGTACTGTGGTAACTTTTCTACTCTAATTAACCTCTCTTTCTTTCCTCATTGAAGTTCACCGGCGGAGCTAGGAACTTTTGGTGGCTGTTCTCGGCAGAACTAATTGTATTATTGAATGCAGTAAGCGATGCTTCAACACATGCAATATATATATATATATATATATATATATATATATATATATATATATATATATATATATATATATATATATATATATATATATATATATATATATATATAGATTATATTGCACTCCATACTGATATTTTGGTGTCCTTTAAGAGTTTGGAACTTTTGCTTATTTAAGTGGGAAAAGTACACCCTGTTTTCATGTACGTATGATTAAACTGAAACAAGCCATGGCCATAGACATAATAAAGAAAGTGATCATGTTACACTCCAGACATCAAGTCATGCATCAAGATAAATATGGTGTTTAGAACAAATGTTCGACAACTGAATATACGATGTACTTTACTATGGGAAATCAATAGGCTATCCGAACGCCTGCAATACGGGAAAACACAGATATATGGCAAGTTTGCAGAATACACGTTCACACGCCGATTCAGTGATGCCAACATAAGACAAAGTTTTATCCCTACAGTGAAAGAAAAATTCTGCATATTACAAGAAAATCTCTAAAATATCTCTGTAATGTCAATATTAAGGCTAATTGACTCTTAATGAAGTAATAAAATAGCGTGCTCTGTGACTAAGTTCTCCTAAATTTTGTTGAGAGTAAAAAGCACCAACTTAGCCACCTCAATTTCAAGGTATTTTTTTTCTTGTTTCATGGAGTTGCATTGAAACGCTTGCAGATAATACTAGTTGTCACAAAGACAGGTTTATCTATTGAGGACATTGAAGTGGTTATTCGAGCCTTATTTAAGAGCACCTTTCTTGTACTTGCAGCTCGTGGGTGACTCTATTTTCAATTTTTCACATTTTCAATCACCAGTCTTAAATGGCAAATATACACGATATAGCTGAATATATTGTTTTTTACAGTCTTTTTTGTTGAAAGAGCGTCATTACTTAATGCCTTTAATCTGGTCACAAATCGGCACACTTCCAGAGTCCCACAAAAATTCCTAGATTGCACTAAAGGATGTAAATTTCAAGATATATATATATATATATATATATATATATATATATATATATATATATATATATATATATATATATATATATATATATATATATATAAAATTACTAGATGTGATGATAAATTCCTAGGGTGGGCATAACTGAGTCCATCTCTCGCCTTGACTTGCACTAGAAAAAAGGGCCTTCTACCGAACCTTCGTGCCGCTTACCTTATGACTAGCAATTACCATCCACGTTTTGTTATAGCAGCGCAATCATCTCTTTAGCCTCTCTCATCGCCCACAACAGGTCTGACTCTTAACCTCTTTAATGACATTCTTCGTTTGACCACAGTCTTTAATGGTCTTACGTGAAGCCGTCAGATAAACAAATTGATTTCTTCCGAACAAGTCTATATTCACCTCTCTCTCGTTCCCCTTTGCAGCTAGCCGTGATGAAAAATATAGATAAACAGACCGACTGGAACAGGAATGTTTCCATGGCCTATCTCGGTGTCATTGTGTACGCGTGTCTACATGCCCGAGAAGCGCGCAGAGCTCGACGAAAAGTGCATCGACCACATTCGTCGTCCCAACACCACAGCCGCAGTAAGTGAACCGACGCTGCACGCCGATATAAGACGGGGCAGTTACTTGATAAAGCAGTAAAAAGAGCGAGGTTTCGGACGTTCATGAGTGCACTGTGCAGCATCCTTTCGCAGTCTTCTTGCACTGGAGTTGTAATTTTTCAAGGGCCAAACTCAGGGCAACGCAATCACCAGCAGTTCGCAGTTTTCTTGCTCTGCAGGAGTTGTAATTTTTCAAGTGCCGGACTCAGCGCAACGCAATCACAAACAGTTACTCGTTGAAAGAGCACAAATAAAGCCAAGAATAATAAGAGGGGTAACACTGATTTTGTATATTTATGTTTCACCGACGGAAAGTGAATATTGTATATTTGTTTTTCATCGAGGCCGTTCGCGTTAAGCGTGCTGATAACTGTACTTCCCGATTCGTATTTATGAAAAAGTGCTGACACAGCCGAACCCAAATAGCCGGTAGCTGCATAGCTTGTATACGCAGGCTAAGATCTGTGCACAAAATAAACACGATCTTTAGGAACAACAGGCATGGCACAGCTGTATATAATAAGTAGATAGTTATTCTGTATGTGTGGTACAGTGAGTGAGAAAAACAGAAGCGTAAAACCTTCACTTTTATTACTCACTGCCATGAACAAGCATTCTTTTTCATTTATTTTCAGTTTTGCAATGACCCGCTCTCGATCTACAACGCGCCGACCACTGTGAGGTGCGGCCATTACACGGCGATGTCCGCGAGCGAAAGCACGCCACCGCTAGTGGCGACATTCGAGACAAACGAAACCGTTAGTGAAAAGGTACCCAGGTGTTGTCTTATATTACCTATGGCTATTTTTATATTTTATTTTTGCATATTTGATGATTGTCGCCTCGGGCACTGCTTGAATCTTGTCTCTTAGGGGTGGGATGGGCGCCTAAATTTTTTTTGTCTATGCATGTGCGCGTCTTCGCATGTGTGGGCGTATATACGTCAGCCTCTGCCCAGGTGGTGCTGCGAAAAAGGCCGCCACCAGCGCCCTCATAGCCGCGCCGGCCATATCTGGGTAGTGCAAAGAGAGCCGTCCCGTCCTCAAGCGGACCTGCATATAAACCACCACCTTTCGTTGGTGTTGAGGCGCTTTTTCCTATAAGTGAACGACCTGGCACGTTTATTTTGTGAATCCATGTTTGAAAAAAGTAGAAAGATCATCAAAGCGAACTGCTGGTATACAATGCAAAATATGTTTCAGTTATTTCGGCGTGCTGCAACTCGTCATTTAAGTGCAAGTGAACATCGCGTGACATCGAGTTCGCGGTAAGCACTCCGACGTGCGTCCTCTAACGCCTAAATGCGTTAACTAGCCCTACACATGATGTCAAAACTATCCAATGCATACACGAGCATTTTGTTTTACGATCCGGCACGAATGAGCCCGCCGATTTTTGCTTTTGTAGTTGCGTTCTCCATGCATATCTCACGTTTTGTGCGTTGAAAGGTTTTATTACGCATCCTAGAATGTTTTGTTCGTGGTTGTCTTCTATTTGTACATACTGCAAATGGCGATTTATGCGTGTCCACTTTCTCGGTGTTAAACGAAAGGCGAAACCGAGGCCTCCAAGATAGCTCTGGCATTCGCGCAGACCAACGGCAAGAAAAACCTGATTGTGGTCATGAGCTACATTTCGTGACTTTACTGTATGACATACGTGTTCGCATTTGATAGTTAAAGCCGGAATTCATAGCCTTCAAAGCGTACGTGCGCCATGTTGTGTGGTGGCGACCTTATAAGATTATCGGTGGTCGCGGCGAGAGGATCGCTTCAGACGAAATAACGTCGTTATTCATGGTATATCAGATTCGAAAGAAACGTGGAACGATACGGAGGAGAAAGCACTTACCGCGTTACACTCCGCACTTGGCGTCGAAATACCCCCCTCAGAGGTCGAAAGAGCTCACCGTATAGGGACGCCATCTGCATCCAAACCCCGCCCCATTATAATGAAATTTTGTTCCTTTAAAACCCGAGATAAGGTATTATCAGCGCGCGCTAAACTTAAAGAATCCGGTATTTCGGTATCCGAAGACTTTTCGCCTGCGACTCGTGAGGCACGAAAGAAACTGTCTGAATTCGCTAAGGGTCTACCTGGATCCCCAAAATACAAATTGCGCTACACGAAACTGTATGTCAATCAACAATGCTACGTATATGACTCTTTAACCGATATTGTAACAGAAACGAGTAACTTTGCCCACCCTGAAACGCATCAACGCAAAGCATCACAAAACAACGGCCTAGACGCTACGCAAACAGCAAACCTAGAGACACGATAGGAAGACGCGAGGGGATGTGGGCGATTGCCGCCCCCATCATGCTTATCTGTACTTCTTGCGAACGTCAGGAGTGTGCTTAATAAACTTGACTCTTTTAACTCTATCGTAGACACGTGCAGACCTAATGTTATCGCGTTAACCGAAACTTGGCTGAATAATAACATTCGGAAGACGGAAATTTTTTACGTTGCGTCCCGCTACACAATTTACCGTTGTGACCGTACCCTTCGCCAAAGCGGTGGCGTTATGCTTGCTGTTTTGAATGCACACGATTCTTACCAGGTTGCAGTTGAAACCGATATTGAAATTATCTTATCGTGTGTTGAGGTGGCGCACCAGAAATTCATTTTTGCGGCATGTTGTTGCCCCCCTAACGCCCCGCCAACTTTTACTGCCTCCTTACACGATGTTCTTAATACCGTAGTAACTCGCCTGCCAAACGACCCGATTTTCCTATTAGGTGACTTATTTCCCTCAAATCATGTGGTCCTCCGAATCGCCCATGTTTAATTCAAGTTCCTCACAAGTTAGCGACTTTCTGAACCTTTGCTCAACCTTCACCCTTACCCAACTAGTTACCCTGCCGACGAGAATAACAGACAGCACAGCAACGGTACTAGACCTCGTACTTACCTCACGCCCCGACTCTGTCTCGTGCATGACATATTTACCCCGGTTTATCTGATCATTTAATCCTTTCTTTCGACATCTCAGTACCAGCTCTAGAAACACGTAAGACAACTAAGCAAATTCGTGATTATAAGAAAGCAAATTTCGATGCCACTAACACTGAACTGTCCACTTTTCTTGACATTTTTCTAGACAATTTCGACAACCGTACAGTTGAAGCTAACTGGAACTTATTCCTGCGAAAAGCCGATGAGCTAACCAACAAATACATCCCGCTTCGCAAAATCTCTTCGCATGCCAGAGCTCCATGGTACAATGCCTACTTAAAACGTCTATCAAACCGCAAGAAGCGCCTTTACCGTAAAGCGAAACTGCTGCCCACGAACGCTCGGTGGGTTGCATACAAAGTAGCTAACAATTCCTATGTATCCGCTGTCAAAAATGCAAAATCCAACTTTTTCCAGAGTACCTTACCTAGCCTGCTTCTAACCAATCCCCAAAGCTTTTGGCGTGTAATTATTCCAAGCACGACTGAATCAATTGAACTGCTGGACCATAATGACGAATCTATTCCCGACAATGTGTGTGCGGTTGTCCTGAACAGGTTTTTTTGTAGTAATTTTGTGGTTTCTTCCAGTACATCTCTTCCTTCCCCAAAGCTGCACGATTATCCACTCATGAGTTCAATTATTGACACTCGGGGAATTTCTAAAATAATACAGTCACTTAAGCCCTCTTCAAGCCCTGGTGTCGATCTTATAACTTCTAAATTTCTTTAAGGTACGGTCTCGTATTCTTCAATTCTTCTTACCAAACTTTTTCAACAATTCATTGACAGCGGGTCCCTACCCATCCAGTGGAAAATCGGTAATGTGGTCGCCGTTCACAAATCAGGTAGCAAAGAATCTCCTTTAAATTACCGCCCTATATCCCTTACGAGCATTCCTTGTAAAGTCTTGGAGCATGTCTTGTACACAAGCATCGTAACGTTTCTCGAATCCAATTCATTTTTCACGGATGCACAACATGGTTTTCGAAAGGAATTTTCATGTGAAACCCAATTACTGTCTTTTACACACCAGCTTCACCGCATTCTTGACCGTCGCTCCAAAGCGGACTGTATTTTTTTAGATTTTGCAAAAGCCTTTGAGAAAGTGTCCCATAATCTCCTGCTTCTGAAACTTAGCAAACTTAACCTTGATCGTGATGTGTTCAAATGGCTGGAACACTTTTTATGTGGCCGTACACAGTTTGTTGCAGCCAACTCATATAATTCCCCAGAATGTTCTGTTAATTCGGGCGTACCCCAAGGCTCAGTCCTGGGTCCCCTCTTATTTTTAATTTACATCAATGACCTCACTGATTGCGTTTCATCAAACATACACCTGTTCGCTGACGATTGTGTGATATTTCGTGAAATTAACGACACAAGCGATGTTAGTATTTTACAAAACGACCTTAACGCTATTTCAAACTGGTGCAGTCTTTGGCTAATGAACCTTAATATTAAAAAGTGTAAAATTTTACGCGTATGTCGAACTTCAACCACTCCCGCCTCGTACCATCTTAATAATGTTCTACTCGATTGTGTTTCATCCTACCGGTACTTAGGTGTGCACTTTACTTCTTGCCTGACCTGGTCCGTTTACATAAGCAACATTATTAACAATGCAAACCGTATGTTAGGCTATCTTCGTCGCAATTTTTCTTCTTCACCTGCCTCTCTAAAACTACTGATGTATAAGAACTTGGTTAGAAGTAAATTAGAATTTGCTGCTTCAGTTTGGGATCCCAGCATGGTTTATCTGATCAAAGCCCCCGAACTGGTCCAAAATAACTCTGCCCGGTTTATCCTACACGATTACGATCGAACAGCAAGCGTTACAGCTATCAAAAACCCGTTGCAGCTGACTTCCCTTTCTTCTCGTCGTAAGTTTTTTCACCTGTGCCTTTTTCATAAAATCTTCTATAACAGCCCCCACCTTCGTACTAATCTTTTTCTTTCACCGTCCTACGTGTCCTCTCGCGTCGATCATGCGCACAAAGTTGGTATACCAATATGCCAAACAAGAACGTGTTCAGAATCTTTTGTCCCACGCACCAGCAAAGACTGTAACCAGCTTCCTGGAGCGACGGCTGCGATTACTGATTATCAGCTGTTTCGCGCTGCACTAACAAACATTGTAAACTGAGGTTACTTATGACGTGTGCCTTTTTCGTTTTTTTATGTTCTTGCGTGTTCTGATGTGTTTTGTAGCTAGAATTGTATACTAAGATTATTTAAAATATGTACACTAGATCTTTTTTGTTCTGCGTTTGTGTCCTAACTTTATTATCAGCTAAAATTGATTATTCAGTAAACGTTGAATCCTGTACTCTTCTTTACTCACCTTCTGAATCCATTTTTTATAAACCCACTCCCCTCTTCAATGCCTCTGGCCCTGAGGGTACAATAAATAAATAAATAAATAAATAAATAAATAAATAAATAAATAAATAAATAAATAAATAAATAAATAAATAATAAATATGTTCATCACGCGCATCACCATTCTGCTGTTGCACGGCGCGCCCCGCAGTCAGATGATCTTTTAAGCTTCATAACCAAACTTGCCACGGTTCTCCGTCTGGGCTACTCAAAACAATAACAGGAGACCTGCATTATCACACTTTCTCATGCGACCGCCTGTGGAGAACGCGAGTAGTTCGCTTACCTAACACGTTCGCAACGGCCCGTAAAACCAGCGCTCTCGCCATTTTCGCGAAAGCTATTGGTAAAACTGGAGCCCTTTACGTCCGTGGCCATTCAAACGCCATAGTATAGCGTCTACGCGAGTCTTTTTTTGCAGAGCGCAGAGCTATTGCACCTATTTTTTTCCCGTCGTTCTGGCGAGTGAGGCAGCAAGCACTTCATGGCGGTTAGATGACGCATCCGACTCGCGGAGAGAAATTTCGTACCTCTTTTTTTAACTGTTCACTGCTCAAACACACGTAATATTTAGCTCAACCATTGTTTCGCATGCCGCAGTTGCATTTGGTTACGCAGCAAACTGTGCAAGAGAGTAGCGCTTTACACTACCCAAAGCTGCGTCGACAGGTGGCGCTACGTGTTCGTAAAACTCCAAAGTCTGACGTATATACACGCACTCAAGATGTAGAAATTTTGGGGGTCTTTGAATCACCCCAACTATAGTCGCTACAACTTTCCTCGATATCGCCTGATAAGTTCAGTTGGGGAAAAGGTGTGATGTAAAAAGCAACAACGCTATCCAGTCTTAACACAATGCAACGCCTCTTTGCAACTAAGCATATATGTCGGTGAATTTCTTTGCCAGTAAATAGTTGATAGATTATAACAGCGTGTGTTGAAATTGAAAGTGTAACTCAATCATGTATGAATGTTTCACGGTAGCTTAGATTTAGAATAATATGTGCCAAGCGGTGTGTTTGCGTCTGTCATCAATGCGCTTGCGTAATGTGCTATTCGCTCGGGCACCCACGTTCAGTGGCGAAAATGGCCCACTGTACCCAACGAACGCTATGTTTGCGTACGCTATTCTTATCTGCCTGTTAAGGATGTAGCGCTGCTATGGTCGATGAAGTGGGTTCAATTTCTGGTCATGCCGGGCCTCGTTTGGATGGAGCCGAAAGCAGAAACGGCCGGATACTACGCCCACGAAAAAATAAATATATGTGATGGTCACAAGTGAAACCTCAATTCTGTTTCCTTGACCACCCCTATGAAAAAAAATATGTGATGTTAGCACGTGAAACCTCAAATATCCTTCCTTTAGAGCAAGAGTCGCCAGCCTTCTAGGTGAAGGGCAACGTTGAATAAAGCCAAATCAGCAGGAGCTGGACGGCGTCGAGTAGGGGGAGAGAGTATTTTCATGCAAAGTGCGAAAAATTGGCAAAATGACAATAATTTTTTAAATTGCAGTGGTTTTTTTTAAATTTTCACCATATGACACAAAGTATTATTATTACCCAATGTTTCGGGTCCTAAAACTGCAATATGATTATGAGAGACGCCGTAGTGGAGGGCTCCGGAAATTTTTACCCTCTGGTGTTCTTTAACGCGCGCGGACATCACATAGTGCATGGGCTTCTATCATTTCGCCTCCATCAAAATGTCACCATCGCAGCCAGGATCGAAACAGCGACTTTCGGGTCAGGCAAACATCTTAGCGCCTGCTCCACTGAGGCGGACTGCACGCCACAAAGCTGCAACCCAAACATGGCTTACAAGCTGAAATACAATTTTATGCTAAAACTGCAACGTTTTCCTTCAGATAGGACGTCGCAAGGAATGAGGTGGGGGCGGCGGCTGAGGTCGTACCGGGGGCTGCAGGATGCCGACCCCTGCTTGAAGGTTATACACCGTGAAGCATACAAGCATTTCTTTTCTATTGCAGTACTGCAAGGTCAGGAAACACTTCGGCGGCCTGAGCGTCGGCCTGGCCATATTCGACGTGGAGTGCGAGGACTGGCAAGGAAAGTGCACCGCTCTGAAAACTCCGATGCCGGGCACGAACAGATTTCGCGACATAGCCTCGTACGTAGCCAGCTGTGGCCAATGTCACTGGCGACAAACTCCCTTGCACGTAATCATAGGACATGAGCGCGCGTTTTCACGGCTGGCGACGATCAGCTGGCGACGTCATACGCGCGTCAAGTCCATTGAATATCTTGATGGGCAGTTGTCCAGTGGACACAATAGCCCTCCGCGAGTGTACTGTGAATTTTGCGTTGATAAATTTTACCGTAATGTCAGATTTCTTTGTTTTCTTTTTGTTCATTCGTTTTACTGAAGTGATCTCACGAACTTTAGACATGCGGGAAGTTCATTTATTTAGAGCACGAACTGGTGTACAACTTCCAGTCTATTGCTTGTCCCTTGATTGGTCGCTAGTCTGTTTCAACTCGTACGAACGTTTCTCTGAATTCTGTTCAGCTATCAGGCATAGCAACCACTATCTTGCCAGGACCATTCTTTATGATTACTGCACCGACTTCAGCAGCGTTAATCCCGGTGGACTAAGGCTTTTAGAGGGTTACTTAAAAATGTACTAAGACTATTCCATCACAGCAGCTGTGGCTTTTAAATACGCCCGAACAATATTATCAAGGTTTCAGTGGATTATGCTAGATTCTCTGGCGTGCCTTCTTGTTGGCGGGCCTCCTCCAGCGGCCCCGCACGCAGCTTGAGTTTTCAAGTCTTCTTCCAGGTGGCGATGGTAGCAGCCTTATTCTACAGCCTCTACCTCCCCTCCTCCACCCCATGTGCTTTTACTTTCGTCATGGTCCTGGCTCTCACGTGAGCGTATTATCGCGACTGCGGCCCGTTTAGGTTTGAGTTGAGTTTGAGACCCCCGCTTTATGCCCATGCCTCCCAGTTACTACTTTTCCAACTTATTTATGCGATTGCTCGTTGTTTTCGCATTATTGCGAAGCGTATTCACGCAGCCCAAAAGAAGCGCTTGAACGTGTGGGAAACAGACTTTCATCTCGCATAAGCATAGTAAGCAAGTATTGTAGTCTTTCTAGTGCGGGCAGACTCGAATTTACGGATGCCGCAGCGTTAATTCTCTTATCACGTCAATTGTCGACTTGAGCAAATCTCGACTTGTGACGCACGCTGGCGAGAAGCCAATGAGAATAGCTTCTCTTACGACTACGATTCGCCTACTTGCACACATTCGTGGCTAGAGTAAAATATCTACAAATAAAAAGAAAAGAAAGAAAGAAAAGAAAGGAAGAAAGAGTGGCACACAATAAGCTTTCACGCCTGTGAAATGGCCCTTCTTTCAATGCTCTAGTTTTTTTTCTTTGAAGACAGCGCTTAGAAGAACATAAAAACTATAGAAACTGGTATGCGAGGTGAAAAAAGAGCATACTCGCTTCATATCTCTCAGACTAAATAAGGCGGATCAACGCGCATGTCTCAGTGTACGTCATGGCCGAGGCTTACTTTTATTTGGAGAAGTCCAACCGCCTGGCGTCGCTTGCACTTGTTTTTGTTTTTTCTTCGCTCCACACGCCAAGAACACGCGAGGCCATTGCTGATGCCTAGTCGAAAAGTGCGCACCCCCCTCCCCCTCCCCGCCTTTCGTCGTCTCCGCTTAGTAATATCGCCTCGTCGTCGAGTAGATTGCCGGTTGCCCGCTCATCTCATTGCGAAGCAGCAATCTCTAGCTGTCGTGAGGACGTCCGTGTGAGTGGGTGTACACGAAGTAACACCAATGTGAAGAATGGGGAGAGAAGCCTCACTCCTTCATCACTGCACCGCATTCCTCGAACAATATCCCAAGAAGTGATATTGCGTAGCCAAAGTGGGGGTAACGAGAAAATAAGATCGTAACAAGCAGAGCTGAGAACGTGACTGCCTTCTTTTTTATAACGACCATGGAAAAAGGGACACTAAGGAGAAGCCCGGACGTCACATTCGTGAAGCCTTCACATCGCAAACGACTAGCGAAGGAGCAGTTAAACATTGCGCGATTTCCGTCGCGTCATTAGCAAGACCTAGGCGCGCATCGAGTGATTCGCGAAACTTTCCGGTTTTTCTGTTTGTCTGTTGTTTGCTCACCGAGCAAGTGGTGCAGTCGATTTCCACATGGTGCTCCTTCTGTGTGTGTTAGCCGACGTTATCCCCAGCTGTTGTGTAGAATCGGTACAAGTTCCGTGCACTGACGCGAAACATCGGGTGTCTCCTTTCGGGTGTACGTACGTTTGCTTCATTGTTTATTACTATAGCGCATCACAAGCTCTCAGATGTGCGTTTTGTTTGTTCTTCATTGTGCCGAGTAGGAACGCGCGTGCACGTCTGTCGCGCCGTACACAACATGCACCGAAGGCGTCGTATTGCGTTTTGCAGGGGTTGTATCTTTCATACGGAAGTGGAATAAACATTTGTTGTTGTTACCAGTCCTACGTGGTGTGCGTGTTGCGTGGTGCGCGCGCGCGGCATGCTCATAGTTGTGTGCGCACTGCAATTTGCGTGTAAAGTACAGAGGTGTACTCTTTTCGACGCAAAGTTGCGTCAAATACTAGGTTGGCGTTGCGCCTAATAGCTACTAAGCAAGCTCCTAAACTAGTGCGGTGTGAGGCTCACTCCAAATGAACGAGCGAAGAATCGCTAATCGGCCAGTAGAACCGAAACTAGGGATCGAGAAAGGGAAAGAAATGCCTGACGCCCAGCAGCACAGGCAAGTCACTGCCAAGTGAGTACGAATACAATGAATCAGGGGCTCAATTTTTTTATAACGGCATGCACTTTCGGTACTGTGGCACGAAAAAGCTCCGCAAAGAATATCGGCATGCGTTGCACTAACGTCCCGAAACCACCACATGAATATGCCAGATGCCGTAGTGGAGGGCTCCGGAAATTTCCACCAACTGGGGTTCTTTAACGTGCACCCAAATCTGAGCACACGGATCTACAGCATTTTCGCCTCCATCAAAATACTGCATGCAAACAGCACAATACGCGCGAAGTGGACGCTGGGACTACTAATCTGCACGAAAGCGAACCAGCGGCGAGAGCATGCCACGTGGCCAGGCTGGCGTCTGCTGTTTTGTTTGTCCCCATACCAGTTTGTTTGGCCCATAAGGTGGACGTCACTTCCGCCACACTTTTGGCTGCTTGATTGATTTAGTGATTGATTGACCGAGTTCGACCTACAGCTTAGGTATAGAGATCACAAATAGCTTCATAGTCACACACTTCTATTTATGGAGCCTAAACCAATGCATAAAACACGTTATAATTAAGAGCAGTAGTAGTTATCAGTTCGCGGCATCTGTAGCTAATGAAAACGCCATTGTCAGTCATCATGTGACGGTAATTTGAAAGTATAGTCGCATTATAGCGTGAAAGTGAGCAACAAATGCAAGAAATGCTATTCTTCTTGCGGAGCTTTTCGCTCATAAAAATGAACACATTTGTTCGGTGCATTTGCTGTAAAAAGAGTCATAATTGTTAAAATATTTACCATCTTGACATATTATCGGAAAGATAAAAGAGAGCGAAAGAGACTGAATACAAACCCACGGGAAAGCGGTGAAGTATGCGTTTTTCCAACTAGCATACTGCTACCGTCGCAGTCATTCGAAGCCACGTGAGCCATCCAGGTAGGTGGATACGACTACACACTATCAGGTTGGTGCAAGTGTCAACCACAGTTACCCCATTGTTCCATGAAGTCACAATGACTGAATTTACAAAGCTTTTGAACACGAAGAGGTGTTTTTGGTTGGTTTGGTCGGGGTCAACAATATACTGGCGCGTCTGACGTCTGATACGTGTGATACGAGATGCACAGACACTTTAGTACCTAAGTTTGAAAGCCACGTCGCAGAATTGGCACTTATTTATTGCGTAAGTTCGCCCTACCGCATCAATACATAATACATGAAATGTCAGCAGGTCCTGTGTCACTTCGCCTAGGTCATTTTAAAGGCGAAGCATGTTCATTTGTAGCACATGCATGCACTGCGTAAACGATTCGTCTCACTTGCCAAGCTAAGCCAAGTGAGACGAATGTTAACTGGCGTAGAAATGGCGAAGACTGGCTTGCGCAATCTGTCCGTAGGAGCTTTAATAAAAAAAAACATCACGTCTGCAAAACAAAATAGAATTATTTTGTTAATGATAATGGTGAATGAGAATCTCAGTCAATCATGTATCTGGCCAATTGAGGAAATTCAGCTGATCGGGAAAACCGAAGAGAGACAATCTTCAGCCTGGTTTACAAGCCTTGCTAGTGATAGGTCCGTCGGCTTAATCAGTAACGGGTTCGGCATCGTCCTTGACCGAATATTTCCTTTTACAAACAGTTAAGGTGTTAGACACTTTCGTGGGCACGAGCCCTGCTCTTTTTGACCTCATCTCTCAGACAAACAAGCTATTCCCGGTGGGTGGGCGCTCAGAATGATAGGGGATGGTATTCGATATTTCGCCCATTTCCGTTGCATAGAGAACGGATCAGGTACGGAAAAGGTATCCTTGACTCATTTTCGTGGGTTCCAAATTGCCTCGTGTCTGACTCCGTTTAACTAAATGTGAACCCTTTTTGGAGATTATTGTACTGTTGTCGAAAAGTCGTGGGACTGAAAATAAACTTCGTGCCTATTCTAGAAAGGGAGTCATGTGCTTGACAGGTGAGGACCCTCGAAAAACAGTTGGAGCTTCTTTGAAGACGATAGTCCTTCTTGGGGACCTTCAACGGAAAAGTTTTGGTCTGTCTGTCTGTCTGTCTGTCTGTCTGTCTGTCTGTCTGTCTGTCTGTCTGTCTGTCTGTCTGTCTGTCTGTCTGTCTGTCTGTCTGTTTCTACATTTGCCTGTTTGTCCGCTCCTAACGAATCCTCAATCGGCATCAAACGACCGACCCCATCCGCAGTGCCCACCAATATTGCTCAAGGTTCAGCGTTCATAGTTGTGCGATTGTCAATTAAAAAGCAATTATTGCACATATCTGAGGCACTATAACAACACATCGATGTTTTGTATGTCTGCCTTTATACTAGAAGAGGCACACACAAGTAACTCTAACGACTGTAGCGTTTATCGCGCTGCGCTGACAGTGCAACGCGCCGATGCTCAAAAAGGTAAGTGTTTCCAACGCTTTGCTACGACGACACGGTGGTCGCACCTGCCCGCCGCTTTGCGTTCTACACCTTATCACCTCCGAGACAGACGCGCAGCTTTCTCCGTGGACCCGCATGCCTTCGTTTTCGAAGATAACTGCCAGATGACGCTCGTGTCTAACGCGCC